GCTCCTGGCATCTCACGTTTGCTCGACACTCACCGTGCGCCACGACCCACGCCACGCCATCTCCCTCGTCCATTCTGCCCGCGACCATTGTCAGGGCCTGCTGCCTGACCAAGCCCAGCAGCGCGTCGGGGCAGAGCAGATGGCACAGGCGCACGGCGGCGATGCATGCGCGGGTCGAGCGGCGCGGCGCGGGAGCGACGAAGGCGGCAGCGGAGGAGGAGGAGGAGGCGGGATGAGGGATCAGAATGCGAAGCTTGAACAGAGGGAACAGGGTCAGTAGGGTTCAATGTTAGAAGGCAGAGAGAGCAAAGCCACGCACGGAATGAGGCAGCAGCAGCTCCTGTGCCGCGTGCAGGAGCCGTTGATCCATCTGTTTCTGCCTCTGCCTCTGCCTCTGCCTCTCCTTGCCCTTGCCCTTGCCCTTGCCCTTGCCCTTGCCCTTGCCCATGTCGCGCTGCTGCGTCTCTGTGCCCTCGCCCTCGTCGTCGTCGTCGTCGTATGGGTGCATTGCATAGCTGAGCACCCTTCTGCTAGGCTGCGCATGCACACTGCTCAGCGCACTGCGGCCAGCGTCGGCACGCGAGGCGGCGCGCCGACGCTTGTGCGTCGAGGTGCCGGTGGCGAGCATTGTGTGATTCGCCCGGTGCCGGTGCACGACGCAGCGCACTGCGTAGCGGGAGAGAGAGAGGTGGGGAATGCGAGGCGCGGGGGAGAAGGGTGAGGATGGTGGAGGGCAAGCAAAGAAGCATGCAAGCCGCCCGCCGCACTCGCACTTCTTCTGGCAGTGGCCGCGCCGCTAAGAATTTGGCACACACGCGCCGCGCGACTCGGACAACGGCGCCCAAAGATGCTGCGCGCTGCCGCTTCGACACCGTCTCCAAGTCTGCGAGCGCAGCCAGAGTGAGTGCCAGAGAGCAGTCTATCACACTCGTATTTTGGGGGCGGAAGAGCAGCCGATGGGGGGCGGCAGCAGCAAGAGAAAGAAGACATGACGTCGTCGCAGCGGGGGGACATGAGCGGTGGTGTTGATGGGGCGAGTAGAGGGGGGGAAGGGGCGGTAACGATGAGAGAGAGAAGCAAAGAAGAGCACGGCTTCTCGCGCGTACGTGGGGGAAGCGCGAGTGGGCTCGCGGGGACACAGAAAAAGAGAGAACAGGCCCGAGACGGCAACGCCTTGGCTAAAAGTCGAGCGTAGCGCAGTCTCGAGAGAGAGAGAGAAGAGGAAGCAAGCGAGCTTCCACTTCGGCCCCGGTGCGGGCGTGCAAGCCACGGCGGGGGGCACACCTGGGCGCGCCTCCGTGCGGGGAGCGCGAGAGAGACGAAGACGCGGCGGCCCGCCTTAGACGTACTTGCCGAACATCGGAATGAGCGTCTGCGCCACCGTGAAGGAGAAGACGCTGAGGCGAGGGAGGGCGAGG